AGCCCTGTGCGGCCGGGGCGGAGGCCGGCGGGGCCCGGGCCGAGCCCACCGCCCGCGGTGGCTTTGCGGTGCACCGGCGTCCCTTCGTCGCTCACCGGGCCCTCGCCGTGCTGGGGCAGGGGGATCTGCGCTCCCGCCCGGGGGTTGGGTTGGGCTTGACGGGTGCGGGTGTGCCCCTCGCTCGGCAGAGCTCCGGGGACGTCTCTCCTGTCCCTCCCTTTCCCTTCCGAAGACTCTACGAGATGCGTGGTATTGGTCTCCCATCAATGTTTGAGGTGTGTAGGTCAGAGCCGGTCTGGTGTTTCGGGTCAGGTCGTCACAGCTGTTGGGGGCAGGCAGCCCCTCATTGCCTCTGCTGCGTGTGGGGTCAAACCCTTTTGCCATACGCTTGGGAGCTCCAGTCTTGAAGACTGCAGCCAGTGGTTGCGTGTAATTACCTGAAAAAAGCATCATACTCTGCTCTTCTGATGAGTTAATGCATTTGATGAGTTAAAACTACTTTTTAAATTTCCCAAGTCATTGAACTAAATCAGAAGTTAGAATATAATTGTGATGTTCTTGTCTCTTTTATGTTCAGTCTTATCAGTAGAGATTGTGAATTATGTTGATGGTAGCTTAGATATTAGCATGCTCTTTTGCCTTGCAGGGCTTCCCAGTAAAACAGTTAGGAACGACTTGAAGTAGGGCTGTTTCTCAGAAAGACCAGTGCTTTTTTATATAGTAGCATTTCTCACCTTGACTGCTTTTCAAACATGTAAAATAAATGTATCTACAAGGGTTTTCTTTAGTATTTGCTTGCCAAGACTTCTAATGCAAGGAAGAGGTGTATTTCATAACTTACGGTCCTTTTCTGAATCACAGGCAGGCATTTATGCTGTGTCAGTTGGTTTTAGTATTCGTGATTACAAGCAGAACATATTTCTATTTGCCATTTTCTGCTGAGCATGGAATGTGTCCCATCTCTAGCTTTAATGTGTTGGTGTCATCTACAGCTATTTAAGGGGAAGCACAGGAGGTTGAAAGAGATCCCCAAATAAAAAAAAAAAAATCATGTTAGGTGAAGAAATAGTCTTTCCTTTCTGCAGTGAATGAGAGTAGCCGAATTAGGAAAAGTTATTGTGCTATATTTCATTTACTTGAGTGGAGTACATTAGTAGAGGACCTGTTACTGACATTCAGATATTAAAGTATAATACATTGTGCTGTTCTAATATGGTGTGTTAAAGGCCATTGTGAGGCAGACCACTAATGCTTTTTCTTTTTTCTTTTTTAGAAACCAAGTGCTTGAAATGTTTGATCATGCATATAGCAATTATATGGTAAGTAAAATACTTGTTTGTTTAATTTTTTTGGAGTTGTTATTGCTGACCTCAGAGAGAAAGCAATCTACAGTACGTGATGTTCTAGAGAAATAGCAGGGAGGTGGGGGCGAAAACAAAGCTAAAATAAATAAGAGCACCTGTATAACCTTTAAAAAGAAATGAACAAATGTTACTTTCAGGAAGAGCAGTGTCAGGAGGGTTATCATGGCTTTCAGAATGGTAGCTATGAATTGCTAGCGGTAACTCTGTTAATCTGCCTGATCTTTCTCCAACCAGTTTATCTCACGTCGAACTATGAATAGTTTTCATCTGTGGTAAAATATTGGGTTTGAAATTCCAGACTCTGAAAAATACTAGGAAAAGGAAGCTCAAGAAGAGCTGTTTGTAGTCATCAGATTCTGGAGAATACAAATTGATCTTACTTATTTTGTAGGTAAAAATTATGTACCATATTTCTTCTGTGGTGAGATATGTTAGATGTGGTTTGGTAGCTTTCACAAACAAACATTGTTTGTAGATCAAAGTAGAACAAAAAGGGGATCTGGTGTCATATCTATGCTTTATAGCCTCTTCTGAGTATGTGACTGTCATATGACAGTGAGCCACACATGCTATGGTTTCTTTTAATATGACTCATGATTTTCTGTGCAGGTGTCTTCATGTTCTGGATATGTGAGCCATTCTGCACTCTAATTAACCTTGAAATATGTTAGCTTAGTTTAGATATGTTCAAGAATAAAGAATTACTTAGAGTGGACTGACTTTCCTCAAGTAATAATTACTTTCAAATATACTATAAGTAATACACTTCTGAGGAGAAACTGTAAATGTGAATAAGATAAATATAAAAGACGCATTCTTACTGACTTTACGTTAACGATCTTTTTGTACATTCTTTGCGGCTGTTGCAGAAACCCCTCTCTTTTAAGTTGCGCCAGTTCCTGCAGGACAAACCGCTGTGTCTTGACAGTATCTTGCCACATGTCCCAGTTTCTGTATTATGGTTTAACGCTTTAATATGTAATATAAGCTTAAAAGCTTGTAAGTTACAAGTTTATACAGTACACAAGAGTTATAGAATTAATGGATAGAAAGCCAAGCAAGAGTATTTTCAAAATGGGTGTAGTTTTTCTTTTTAACATTAGCTCTTGCTTTTGACACCTTTGAAGTTTAACAAATATCAGGCTCTTTGGTGATAATTTGTAACTAGTTACTTGGGACCTGGTTCCATGAAAAGCACTTGACTTGGGCTTCCCAGGGCATTCTGAAGTAAAAACTGTTATGTATTTGGCAAAATTGGATAAAATGTTATATGCCAGTAGAAAGGATCTGTGCTCCTAATGTTTATTGTGTGGTAAATTGGAAACTGGTAGGTATCTTGCTACATCTGAAGGAAGAAAGTTCTGGATGAAAGAGAAGAATGACTTCAGCTATCCTGGAAACTTTGAAGCCAAAAGGATATTTACTTGCCACGTATGCTGGAGCACTAAACAAACGGAGAAATATGACTTGTTTGTTTAAAGTTGAAGAAAAGATTAGAGTATCAGACTTGATTCTGACAGCAAGAGAATTAAGTATTTTTGCAGCTGCTTTTGAAACAGCCAACTGAAAAGTTTTGATTTTCTGTTTCTATTAATATATGTTTTAGAATTGCATATTTAGAAGACTGAAAATTCATGTTTGCATGCAAGAGGGAAACTCCCTTGTCTTTTTTTTTTTTTTTTTCAGTTGTGAACAGGAACTTTGAGTAAAAACCTGGTGGGTTTTTTTTCAGTCCTTCAACAATATTTGTAATTATCAGGATTTTTTTCTTCTTGACAAAAGATTCTTTTCTTCTTGAGAAAGAATATATGAAACTGTCAGTCACTTGAGGCCAGTAGGTATTTCTTGGTTTACAGCACTAGTAGCAATGCATCTTTTTTCATTATTCAAGTACTGTGCTGCCCTGAATTTATAGTCCTGACATTAGGCAATATGATCATCCCTTTGGTCAGAATATGTAGAAATTCCAGAGTATCTGTTTAGATCCATTTGTATAATGTTTTCCAGAAGTATGTTTGTTGTAACATTTGTGCCATGTTTTATATTTAATGGCTCTTGGTACCTTCCTTTGAGGTTACTTGAAAGGGGAGAAGTTACAAGTTGGGAAATCACTTGACCCAGTAATCTTTCCTGCTCTAGACAGAGAATAAATGAACTTTTATTTTTCAAAATGCTTCTAGTTCCTTATGATTTTGTGAGTCTGAAAGTCCATTTTCTCCAGAATTTTTATCACCTTTTTCTCCATGATTTAAGCCAGAGATCTTAGTTTTGACATTGCTTTTGTCATGTACTACTTTAATCTGTTCTTCTGAATACTTTGCACAGATATTCAGAAACATCTGAGCCATATTAAAATGATCTAGATTCTGGCTTTTGTAGTTGAACTTGAGGAGAACAAAGTCGTGCAAAGACCAAAATACTTGGGAGGGTGGTAGACAGGGAAACAAACTATCAGTTTCAAAAGAAGTTGCTGTAAGAGCTGTTTGTTTATAGAAGAATGTTCCTCCTTTTCCTCTCTATTTCACATTTGAATATAGATTATTTTTTGTACCATATATTTGAAAAGACTTTGAATGTGTTTACTTGCAGTTTCAGTGCAGTAATTGAACTTTTTCATCCTGCTACGTTAGTTCTCCACTAAAAGCAGAATTGGAGACCACAGTACAGCAGCCAGTTTCCTGATGAAATCAAAAGAGAAGCTCCATCCTAAATCCCTTGTGCTGGGCTTCTAATGGAGAGGCAATTTCATGCATGTTTGTTGAAATTAAAAATTCATCTTTCTTAATGTCAGTGGCCACTCTGTAAATTTTTCAGTAAACCTCTCCTATTGCAAAATGATGAATTTCAAGTTTGTGTGTATTTCATGTGATATCCCATTTTAGTGGTAGTTTAAACCTACAAAACTTGCATTGACTTGGGAGGGAATAGGAAAAGGCATTTTATTCAGTGTGCTTGACTGAGGCAATGGTGCCACTCCTGTTATTTCTGCCTGACTGACAAGAAATAATATTACAATACAGCTTGCTTTGCGTTGTGCTTTTTCTAGAAATAAGGAAAGTAACCGTTGCTTTTCCAAAAAAATCTAACAATGTCTCTCTCTTTAAAAAAAAAAAAATTGTTATACTTGTAAAAGGCTCAGTTTTGGTAAGCTTTTTTTGTGAATGTTGTCTTTTGTTTGTCTTGTGTAGTGATTTACCAATTTATTATTTTACGTTCTGAGTTCTCTTACCTGTCACTTGATTGTGACCCTGAGTCACTTATGGAAATGTTTCCAAAATGACTGTAAAGTCTAACTCCCACTAATGTCTTTATGAAATATCATCCACTTGATAATGCCTGCATTAGTTTTAGGTTTTAAACTCATCTTTGAGATGATAACTTCTGCCTAAGAAACATTATAGGAAGTGTCATATACACCTTGTTGCAGAAAGCACACAATTAACTATTCAAGTTAATTGATGGGGTTTTCTTTGGATGTGCCCTTAGTTGTTCCAGACTTCTCTGGGAGGTTAGAGAGAGAGAGAGAGAGAGAAGGAGAAAGAGGTCCTGTTGCTCTATTCACAGTTTAACCGTTTCCAGCCACCGAGCTGGAAAGCAGCTTTGCAGAAAAGGAACTGGGGGTCCTGGTGGACACCAAGTTGACCACAAGCCTGCCATGTGCCCTTGCAGCAAAGGTGGCTAATAGTATCCTGGGCTGCATTAGGCAACACACTGCCAGCAGGTGATCCTTCCCCTCTACTCAGTACTGGTGAGGCCACACCTGGAGTATTGTGTCCAGTTCTGGCCTCCCCAGTACAAGAGATATATAGACATGCTGGACAGAGTCCAACAAAAGGCCACAAAGATGAGAAAGAGACTGGAGCATCTTTCCTATGGGAAAAGGCTGAGAGAGCTGGGGCTGTTCAGCCTGGAGAAGAGAAGGCTCAGGGGATCTTATCAATGTAGATAAATACCTGAAGGAAGGCTATGAAGAAGACAGAGACAGCCTCTTCTCAGTGGTGCCCAGTGACAGGAGCAGAGGCAATGGGCACAAACTGAAACATGGGAGGTTCCCTCTGAATATCAGGATACACTTTTTTACTGTGAAGGTGATTGGGCAACCTGTGCCAGTGCTCAGAGAGGTGGTGGAGTCTCCTTCCTTGGAGATATTCAAAAGTTGTCTGGACATGGTACTGGACAGCTTGGTCTAGGCAGACCTGCTTGAGTAGAGGGATTAGACAAGATGACCTGTAAAGGTCCCTTCCCGCCTCAAAGATTCTGTGATTTTCATGAAGTTTTTCTGAAGTACAGCATAACTGGGCTTCATTTTAACAGGCTCTGAGGATTTGCTCGCTGTAACAGTTGTAACTTATTCCCTTGTTTTGTTTCCCTACATGCCTTTAACTTGTCGTGGACGAGTACGGGGTCAGGAACCAAGTCGAGGGGATGTGGATGATGCCTTGGGAAAGTTAGTGTTTGAAATGGTTACTATCTCATGTAAACATCTAGGAATCTAAGTACAATTTGCAGCCCATAGAACTTGTTTCTTCAGTTGACATGGCCACAAACTTAAATTTGTTGAAGGAGATTCTGTGGGTGCAGACAAATCCATAATTTGTCTCCTAAGTTCTCGTATGGGGATCGGGGGGAATCAATTGGAAAGAAAGCTGTAATTGTGAGCTTCTTGCAAGTTAAGCAGAAATACCTACTTTTATTATTTCTGCCCATTATGTTAACTGATGTAAAATTGTACCTTAATCGGAAAAAAGAGATTGACCAGTGACTGAGACCCAAAGATAGGGGTTTTTAATCAGTCTCCAAGTATTTTCCATAGGAAAGCCTTCCAAATGTGAGCTGACATTTATGGGATTAGTAAATTTGACTGTTAAATAGGAGTTATAAGAGTTAATTATCAGCTGCACAGAACAGTAAACTGTTATCCATT